GCTCTAGCCTCTAGGAGGTATATTTGTGTGTAATTAACAACATAAATGTGTAAAATGTTACATAATAGAACAAACAACATGCACAAAATGAAAAAGGAAATATTATTTGTATTTATGTCACTTTCTTGCCAAATTATTTAACCGAAGTACATATATATATATATATATATATATATATATTGCATGATACATTTGCTATTCTATTGCTTATATTATTATTGACAAATCATTTCAATATAGCATGTGAATAAGTATTCGTTGATTCTTTAGATATAAATGTGACAAACTTTAGGAATAAATATTTAACTTAAAATCAAAGGCGCTTATATGTAAAAAGTATTTAAGACTCTTTGTTTCCATTCGACATTCCAATAAAAGATTTTTTCCCAACACTTCAGACAATAGGTTCTTGTAATGGTGTTCCTTTTTTTCCTTTTTTTTTTTTTTTTTTAATGTCCGGGCATCTTTTGAGACTAATATTAAATACAATAAATCAACGCAAAACTCCCAGTGGCCAAAAAAAGACTTTTAGAGTCTTTCTTGCTGCGAAAAAATCAACTCAAAACTTAATTTAATACTTTATTTTATATATAGCTTAAAAAAAGTAACGTAAACATTGAGTTCATATGTTAAAAAGCAAAATTTTCAACTTTTTTTTATTACTATGTTTAGGGGTTTTTTGGTAAAAGAGAAATGTACTGTAACGATCTGATATATGTAAAATAAAAAAATATATTTATGAAAAACGTTATTTTTTTATTTTTTATTTTTTGCAAAAACCACCGTCCAAACAAGGAAGCTTTTCCCAATGTGGATTTAGATGCCAATCTTCATACTTGTGGTCCGTGAAGCTCAAGAGTTGGCATTCCTCCTTTGCCCTCCGGGAATCGTTATCCATGGAAAGTTTTTTTCAGACATTGGAAAAGGGTGAGGGGCCAGTGAAATAATTCAAATGCACTTGCATGAGACTAAATGATGTATGAAAAAAGAGAACCATTATCATGAGAAATGCACATGGCCCTATCCTGGGAAAATGCTCATGTTCTTTAGAAAAGGATAAAGGATCAACCGATCCTAGTGTAATCATGAGAATCAGTTGAGATTAGATTCTTAATACGATAGTACTTAATTATCATTTTGGATTCCCATATATACCAAAAATTTCTTGGGATTTGATTTTTAGACATTAAATCTTATTAAGGATAAAACGCATTATTTTGTCGCGAATTTCTTTTCTCATTCTCTACTTTTTCCTTTCCATTCCTCTTCCGAATAACTATTAAAAAGATTTATTTACAATAAATTCATCGAGCTATAGATTTTTTTCTTTTTTCTTTTACTCTTCTTACTCCTAACTGTCAGAATTCAAATTCTGAATTTAACAGCAAGAATGATTTCAAGAGTTCTTCTCTGACCACTAAACTTACTCCAATGATTCATTGAGTTATAATCTCATATCGATCGTTGCGGTAATTTATTGGCCAAGTAAAAATTTGACTACACCATCCATGAAGATTACATCACAAAAACCTAAAAAAGAACAAGTTTAATTCCCTTGACAAACTCATTGACCCTAATCTGATTTTAGATACTGTTCTCAGTTTCTTTAGATTGTGTAAATAGCTAATTAATCAAAATCAGCAAATGTGTCAAAATGGGGAATCTAAACACTAAAAATGTAAAGGACATGTACAATTGCCAATACAAATGTGTCAAAATAGTGATGTTCAAAACGTCCTTTATTTATTTATTTAATCATGTATATCACTTTAAATACAATGTAAGTTTACAATATTTCTTAAAACGATGTACACCATGTGATCTAAATTTTACATTTATTTTTTGACCAATCATAATTGCTACTGCAGCCATCCTCTCCTAATTGACAACATAATATCTTCAATCAAAACCCAAAAGGGCCTTCCAAGTGGAAAGATGGTTTACTAGGCAAAAATTTTCTGTTGGCATTCTTTTAGCTCGAATGCTTAGGAGCAAATATAGAAAAGCCCAGCATGGGACCAAACCAAATCCATGGGTCTAACTTTGGGGTATAATCCAGCCCCAAGCCCACTTTAAGCGATGGCAAGAGTTGTCTTTGCATTTGCTCCATTGTCCTTTTTATCCTTCACACATTGTCCTTTGGGACGTCAAAAGGCTGTCATTTGAAGAAGGGCTCAAATTTGCAGGACACTTGGCAGTAACATATTTTCTGATTAATCAATTAATAATGGATAATTAGAAGTAATCTACCCATCCAAGATAACAGTTGGTACAAATTAAACTTTGGAGCATAGTTATTAAACCCAACCCGGGAAGGAACCCAGCGAAGGGGGTGGGTCAACGGGTTACTAGTTCAACTGGTGGGTGAGTGGTTGAACCGGTGGGTCACTAAATATATTTAAATATTATATTTCATAATTTTTTATATAAGATATATGATATAAATTGTAATAACTAATGCCATAGTAAAAGCTCATTTAATTTAATTTGCTATAAAATAATTAATTCATATAAGAATCAATTAAATATAAAGTTATTTAGTAATACACCAAACTTTAAGTGTAAAATTTTATCTATATTTAGTGTAATAATGTAGCTTATTTATGAATTTTAAGTGTAAAAAATTATTAAATTAATATTTGTCTTTGAAATGAATTATGTAATGTGTTATTTTTGAAATTCATTTTATAAATTATAGAGTTTGGAGGGTACTAATTTTTATTAAAAGATTTCAAATAAATTTATTTTAGAGAAAAAAAAGATAGAATTGAAAAAACATATATATATATATATATATATATATATATATTATAATAAAGACCTTTTATTAACAAATTTTGGAGCAGCCTAGTGGTAAGCATACATTAGTGATTGGTGGAGGTCTAAGGTTCGAGCTTTGACAAAAGTAATAAAATTTTTCCACCAAAACCGGTTCGTGGACAAAACCGGCCGGGTTTCCGGTTTAGCCCGGTCCGACCGCCGGACCGTTGACTAGCCGTTGCACAAACGATCCAATTTAAGACTCGGTCCGGCCTAATGGCCTGTTCACCGGTTCGACCGCCGGATCGGGTCGGGTTTAATAACTATGCTTTGGAGAACTAACCCTTCGAAAAGTTTAATTTTGTCTAAACATGGTCTACTTACAATAATTACGTTACTATACTGACACATGATTACAAGACCAAAATCACAAATTTCTTACAATAATTAATGTTGCTACGCTGACACGTGGTTATTAAAAAAGTCTCCACAATTACATGAGTTTTGATTTTTCTTACTCATATGCGGCTTGAATACCTTGTTAAGTAGCTCATCTTGACCAAATTTGAGTCGAACTTTTGACTAAACTACTCATGAGTTTAAGTCGAATAATTTGTTTCAAATACATCACTATTTGAAAAACCTTACAAATTTTATTGAGTGTATGAGCTTACCAAAATATAATTAAACTTAGGGGAAAAAAATGACTACTACTAACATGTAAATTAAGGAGCGAAAAAAGATCAATATATCAACATTTATATTAATTGAGGGCGCAAATAATAAAAAAAAAACTTACACTTTTTAGGAAGATAAGTGACAGGTAAGAAGTTGCCAACGAAACTTTGGTTTTTTTTTTTTTTTTTTTAAGTGTAAGCAGGAGGATTCGAAAAAAAACTTTGGTTAAATAGCTAGGCTTGAGACCTCAAAAATCATAAATCTTGAGTTTAAATTGTTATTTCCTCTACTGCCTTTCTTAAATCTCACCCTTTTGCTAATGTTTTTGGATAGTTAAGTTATACCAAATAATATTTCGTTTGTATCATAAACACGTTTTTCAATTCACCATTTTATATTTCTAATTATCTTTTTATCTCACATACATTGTATCGCAAATAGTGTTACGGTAATTATTTCAAATAATATTCTATCCAAACATTTTAATTTATTTATTGACCACAAATAGTAGATCTGAATTTAGTCCAACCCTTTTTTGGGATAATTGCAAAAACCTCCCTTGAGGTTTCTAATAGTTGCACTCACCTTCCAGAGGTTTTGAAAATAGCACAACCTTCCCTAAACTTAAGATTTTGATAGCAGATTTAGCACATGTTATAGAAAATGCCATTAAAAAAAATATTTTGAGAAGTGAGATAATAATTTTGTTCCATTTGTACCTTTTTTGTCACTTGTGAGGTTATATTAGTAAAAGAATGAAAAGCATTAAAATGTGGAAACAATTAGTAAAACGAAAGAGGATATAAGGGCAAAGAAAATAAGTGCAGTAACTACAATTAAAAGAAGCAACGGATGCACGTTTAGAAATCTAAGGTTTTAAAACATATAAAGTGTACAGCTAACTCCAGAAACTCTTCTTACTAAAGAAGCTTTTTAAATTAAGTTGAGATGAACGATTACTTACCTATTGTCTTTTGATTGCCGCAAATTTTTAACAAAAAAAAAAATCGCTAGATTTTGCCTTGATTTCTACTTTCTTTCTCCTTTCATTTCATGAATGTTTAAAATAAAGTGAATTCAACCAAAAACACCAGAACTTATTCTCTTATGGAACCTTGCGTGGAGGTTTCTTTCCCCTACATTTTTCTTACTTCTGCTTCTCTTCTATGCAAATAATATATAATTTGGATTGTCCTCTCAAGTGCTATGAATCACAAAATAATGTCATATTAGAGCATCAATTGGTGCGATTTTGTAAGAATACTTACAATGTCTAATCAGGTTAAAAATAACCATTAATCTCGTTTTATTAGTTATCCTAAACTTGTTTATTGTCCTAATTTTTTTTTGCTCCAAATTTTTTACTGACGACCTTAAACTCTAAGGGTATATAAGTAAATTTACCCTATCTTACATCAGTTATAGGGCCCAAATTCATGCTAGGGGAGATTAGTGCTATTTTAAAAACCTTAGGGGAGGTTTCTGTAATTATTCCTTTTTTTTTTTTCAATTTTTTCAATGGTGAAATCAGCTCAAAATTGCAAAAAGAAGGAAGAAGAGTAAAAAGGAAACGTGGGAAGTGAGATGAGATGAAGAGAGCGCCATTTTCTTATCCTTTCAAATCTATCCCAGGGAGTCAAATGACCCATCAAGAACAGCACCGTATATCAGAAAAGCAAGCAGAAGCAAGAGAGGAAGATTTTTATTGACAGCCCAACAATGGCATCATCCTCAGTTCTTCCATTTTCGTCATCATTCCGAAGTTGGTTCCATCCTTGTTTGGCATCAAAAATTACCTTCACCAGAAGAACAAATTCCTTATCCATTGTCACTCGCTCTAGTCTCTCTGACAACTCTGCTCTCCTCCAAGCAGCCAAGCACACCGTAACTCACTCTCGCACCCTACTATATTCTACTCCCTTTTGAGCATATCATATCGCTAATTTTGTACTTTCTTGCATTTTCACTTTGTTTTTGTTTCTTGGTTATCTTCAAAGATTGTTGTTAATTGCAGGTTGTTTTGAAAAAATCTTTAATTAATTGGTTGAAAACCTTTCAAAAACCGAACTTTCAGGTGTTTAAGACTAATTCTTTTGATCTATTAAGGTGGTCTATAGAATTTTCAGCTGAACTAGTAGTCAGATTGCAACTTTGGTTGATCAATTTTGATATTGGTTCTATAGGAATATTTTGTAAAGGAAGAATTGATGTTTTTACAGGCTATAAGGTTTTTCAACGCATTGAATGTTATGCATGAAGCTCATTCCGGTTGCAATTGCCGAGTGCAATGTTGCTGTATCGAAACTTCAAATGTATGCACAAGCACAATAAGTGTAATTCAACAACAATTGTTGTGGGACGTTTTTGGAAGTTGTATTCACTGCCTTTAATTCAGAAAAGAAAACAAGAAAGGGTGTGTGTGTGAATACAATTTGGACTTATACTGATGAAAATATAACTCAGGCTGTAATTTTTGATGGTGTTGAAGAAGTAGACTAGCTCAGGAAGGATGTGGCATGTTCTTTGATGCAATTCAGTCCAATTTCTTCTGTCAAATAAAGTGGACACATAGGAGGAAATGGTTTACGAGAACTGATGACAAATTCTCGCAATTACACTTGATTTGTGTAGTTAATACCAAGTTCTGTTTTATCTTCAGGTGGATTCTTATGTCAAAAGTGGTATGGTGGTTGGATTTGGAGCTGGTCATGCTTCTGATTTGGCCATACATTACTTGGGTCAGCAACTTAAGGCTGGTGCACTAAAAGATATAGTTGGCACACCCACGTAAATCAAATTCTTTAATTCTTTTAGTATCATCTTAGTGGTTAGTCATATGCATGAGCCTCTGTTTTGAATTTTGTACGATTGGGGGATCAGGAGGAGTTTTTTTTATTTTGGTTGGGGGGGGGGGCAGCTGCCTCTACCAATATACATTTGAAAATTTTTGCTGTCAGAAAGTTTTACATTTTCCCTGCTTTAAGAATACCTTTGCATCTATTTTTCAATTAGCTTATCTTCATGGGTGGATCATATAGTTTTAACTGTGTTTCCATTTGTTAAATAGGAGTGACTTTTGTACTCATTTCACTCCAATAAATTCAGTTATACTTCCTTTTAAATTCCAATTGCTCGCCTAATTCAATAGATAAACAGTCAAACTACGCAATTCTGATTAATTCCAGCAAACAAGTAAAAGAGCAAAATAAGCTTAGGACCCAAAAAAAAAAAAAAAAAAAAAAGAAACTTCTGAAATGAAACATGTATCTTTTGCTCCCAATTAGGTTGCTAATCTTCAAATTGTGCCCAGTTGAAGCTTGAGCAGAGATATGATCTTTAATCTTATTTTTCCTTTTTTGCTAATTGTATTAGGCACTTGCTCAATATCTTTTTGTTCTTTAAACAAGTCCGCCCTGCCCCTCGTCTCAAATCTTGGCTGATAGCATCTTTTCTTTGCAAAATTGCTTTAGAATTATCTAAAAAATTAATTGACAAGAACAATTGTTCCCATTAAATTAAGTTGGTTTTGGAAACTCTTGCTTCTTCTAGCTGATTGTGTCTTGGAGCAAATAAGATCATATATATCCTGCAAATGTTGTATAAATGTTTTTAAACATGTTACTGTTATCAAAAGATGAGTTGTCATGGTAATCACAGTCTTTGTTTCCTTTCTTTTAAGTTCTAAGTTAACAACTTCAATTGCTTTAAAGTCACTCTGTCCACTGTAAAAGTGGGAACCTTTGATTGAGCAGATTTACTCTTCCCTTAGAATTAATCAGCAGCTTTGTGATGCAGATGTGTTGGTAGTGCAAGTGTGGCAGCCAAGGTAGGCATTCCCTTGGAACAATATGAGGGAAGCTCAAAAGTATGAACCATTTTCTTATCATTGATTCTGCATTTGTATTCTTTCTGGGGCTTGTGGATTTGTTACCGAGCTCTCTACTAATTGCATGGAAAAAAAAAGCACCCTTAGATCTTTTTTAGTGGTTTTGTGAATCTGTTAAATCTTTTACCTTTTGAATTGATGAAATTATAGTATAGATAGGAAATTTTATGATTACTTTTGGACTGTGGAATAGAAAGGGAACAACATGTTAGGTTGCACTTTACAGTAATAATGAACTGTAGGCCCAAATTCTGCTTGTTTGCTGTTCCATACTATTTTGCATTTTAATATATTAAATGTCGTGGGAAAAAAAAATCTTAAATGATGTATAACAAAATTTTTGGCTTTCTGTATAGTAGATTGATGTAGCATTTAGTGATGCTGATGTTATAGAGGAGGTGACACTTTCTGCCATTATAGGGCGTCGGAAAATGATGGGAGAGGAGTCAATTATTCAAGAAAAGGTCAGTCAGTTTAAGTAAGTTTATTCATGTAAATATATAGTACTAGTCTCAGTTTGAAAAGCATAGAAAAGAAAGAATGAAGCACAAATGCTGCGGTTAACCACGCATCAAATTTTGTTCTGGAAGTTTATCATTTCAACTCTATAGATCTCTCTTTGAGATTTCCTTCTTGCTAGATACTATCTTTGGCTTTCCAAGGCATCCAAGTTGGCTTGATTTTTCATTTCATGTGGTCTTTGTACAGCTTAATTTCTTGTGTCAGATGCAGTGGTTACCTTTCCTTGCAGACTATTCTTGGAGCTGCCGAAAAGCTTGTCTTCATTGTCACTGAGAAGCAGTATAGAAGTGATCTGGATGGATCAATCCCCGTTTTAATACAATCTGTAAGCTTAAATAGTGTGTATTTGATATTTTTAGGATGGAGATAAAGTCTAGAACCAGAAAGACAAGCAGCTTGACATTATAAATTTATGTTTTAGTTTAACTGGATGGAAACTGCTGAAGAGATTGATGATCTATTCCTTGGTGATGCTGAGGTATGCCTAGAAACAATAGTAATCCATCCTGTACTGCCTACGTGTTTTAGGTAGTCATTTTTTTTTTAAAATCTTCGTGTGTTCTTTCAATATGGTATGTTTTCTGACTTTCATGGGATGGGAGGAAAGAAAATGATATCAAATAGCCAAGTATCTAAGCATCATTGAGACATCACAGTGCAAAAATTTTCCTGCCCCTTTTAGTCTTCATGCCAGCAAAAGAAAAAAGGAAAACAGTGAAAAGCTCCCTGGGGGTAAACAATCCCCTAAAATAGGAAAAAGATGTATTGGTCCAGTATGTTTGGTAAAAAGGAATGACAACCATCACCAACATGCTTTTTCCCCTGCAAAACCTTGTTTAAACTGAGTCAAGTTACTCTTGGGCTAGATAATTCACTGGTTGAAGATTATGTTTATGTCTCTTCCTACTATTGTCCAAATTTATACAAGTGGTGTTGTTGTAAGTGACTACCAATGTTTTTCCCTTTCTGATAGGAAGTCCCTAGCTAGGACTCTTTCCGAACAGCTGATTTTAAAAGGTTTTAAAGTAAACAGTGTGGAAAAACTGCTGTCTGATACCTCCCAGTACCTTTTCTTCTGAGACCACAGGGACCTACTGACTTCAGAACTAAAATAATCTACTTTTCCTGGTCTGAGCTCATTTCAACCGTATTCCAGAAAGCTGTGATTGTTCCTTTCGTTTTATGTAGTACGCATATCTGCTGTTATTGTTTTTTCTCCCTGTTTCCTTGTTTCTGTTTTGATTTAGCACCTCGCAATAATGGCTCTTCCTTCAGTTACATCTTTGTTTTTACATGGTTAGAAATGTTCTCAAATCTTCGGCACTGATCTTTTTATTTCGTGTAGGTCTGGAGGAGACCATCTGTAGGGTATGCTGGCCCCCTTGGTGGTGACTTCCCAATGGTGACAAAAGAAGGGCATAATGTGCTAGATGTAATATTTACATCCCCAATCATAATCCTTGGTATCATCTAGACCATCATAATTAATTGTTTCCTTTCTCTTAAACCTATCTGCATTACTTTTGCTAGACAATCGTCATTATTTTTTTTGGCAGCTGATGTAGCCAATTGTCTTGAACAAGTTGATGGTGTTGTAGAGCATGGAATTATATGCAGGATTCCGTGAGTTTTCTTTGCATATTGTCTGTAATATATGTGATTATCCTTTTTGGTTGCTGCATTGAGATTCAGTCTGCATGCTAAGCATTACGCTTTCGCCTGTTTTAGTACTTCTAGTAATTAATCAATAGTCCATCTACTTCTAGTCATCATTGAGTATATAGGATTTGAACTGTTGTCTAATTGATATGAAACTTATTGAGCCTATTTGAGTTTGATTCATCAGTAGGTAAAACATGATTATTCCCTTTAGTTAATTTCTCTTGAGAGTTCAATCTGTTTAATAGTTCTACAGCTTTGCTATACCCTGGATCAATTTTCTGATTTCCCCAGCTGTTTCCAATAGTTCAAAATTCAGCATATCTCAATTAAAAACAAAGGAAAAAACAAAATATATTCAAGTAATTTGAACTTAGAAGAACAGTCAACAGTTTTTGCTATATAATGTTATTAAACCACACCTCGAAAAGGAGTTATGCTTAACATCAATCTTCCACTGAGTTGATGAATTGAAGGTCAAAGGAGTTGTTCTGGGGTGCCTGAACTGTAGAGGGAAAGATGAAATGTCCAATGTACCAAATAAAGGTGTCCAATTTAATGGAATTGGAGCTTACACGTTCTCCTTTTCACTGCCTGAATTTCCTTGTAAGTGGAATGAAAGTTTAGAATTAATGAGCCTTTGATGGATGGTTGCTCCACTGACCAAGGATAAATAGGACCAATGCATGTATATTAGAAGAGTATCTGATTAGCAGCTGTCTGTGTTATCCAAACAAGATGCGCCATTGCCTAAGTCTGCCAAAAAATTTGATCATTAGTCTTTCATCGAAGAATAGTTTATGTTTGGTAGAAGGGGCTCCTATGTGCACCATACATGCATCTCCAAGACTTGGTAATTCCACTTTGAGGTAATAGTCATTAATGACGCTTAGGCTGATTAATTTCAATCTGTAGATTGGTTCAGTTTGTGGAATGTAAGACCAGCTAGTTGCATGGATATCCACCATACTGAGGAGAAAGAGATGAACTGAAGCTCTGAAAGTAGCTGATGGGATTTGGCTGGAAAAGTGTTGGGTTACTCAACATGATGGTTAGAGAGTTCTATATCTCATTATACAGAGATAAGGACCAGCCCAGGAACCAGGATTTCTCACCAAGTGTACATTCTTCTCCTCTGAGGCCTAATATAGTTTCTTCTCTTGGTGCTGCTGTTTGATTGATGAAGTTAAGGGAGCAATTTTCAGTTTCTGTTCATTCTCAAATTCGCCCACTGGATGGTGTTCACGCTATCTTCTACCCAAGTTACCGGGAGGTTCTACATATGATGAGAGATTAAAAATTTGTTAGAGATGCATTTGATGGTGAACAGGTGGGAGCTTCAATTAATAGACTCCCCTCTTGTTAATATCTCAAAGTGATAATTATACAAGTTCCATGCATTCATTGGTCTCTTACAGAGTCATTACCATGATTAGTGCTAACTGGTTGAAAATCACATGGCTGATTCTCCTTTGACTCTAAGCTTCTTCAGTGAGAGAAGAGAGACTGACTGGTCAGCCAATTTTATGGACGAGGAAGCTTCGGTATGCCCCCATTTCTAGTCCTGAAAGAGAAGCACCAAGTAAGCCACTCCAAAAGAATAAAGAAGAAAGACAAGGGGAACAAAGATCCTGTCGATAAAAAGGCATCCACTAGTTTAAGAAACAAAAAGCAATAAGCGAAATGCTTGGTCAAGTAGCTGAACTCTGACTAGCTTTCTTCATCAACTCAAGTTACTTTGCATAAGCCTCTTTAGTGATAGGACTGGCATCATGAATCACTAAAGGCACCATTTTTCACATAGTAATGATGAAATCCATACCTGCTTATAGACTATCTACTGTATTTGTTTAAATTGATTATAGAAGAAAATGCCATCTGCTGTGATCATGCAACTACTGACTACTGATCGCTTGTGCTTGTCACTTGTGGGACTTGTTACCCAGACATTGGCTTGTGCTTTAATCATATGTGGCTATCTTCCTTTAATATCTCCACAGTTGACATCTTTCGCATAAAAAAGCTTGCACTTATTGTTGGCACTTATGTTGCTCACGTATGATGCCTTATGGTACATTTATGCACCTATGAAAAGTGAATACAATGTTTCCTTCTTCTCTTAACTTCTGATTGTCATACTTCCTTTACTGCTATATATTTTGGTTGATCTTGAAACATTCCATAAACTTCAGGTGTACTGCAGTCATTGCTTCTGAGAACGGGCTGCGCATTATCGACAACAATTTGATTCTTGAAGCAGGGAGAGCTTAACTGATATAGGAGCTTGCTCCACACTCTCTGGAACTACAGCTGCAAACCCTTTCATGAGAAATCTAATCGGAGTAATCTTACATTAGAAATGAACAACACTGGAATTGCTGATGAAACCTTAAAAACTCTACTAGAAGTTCTTCAAACCGTTGTCTGAATGGTAGATATTGTTGATGTAGTATCTCTGATTTTGTGGAATTCTGGTATAAAATCTTGGGACATGTTTGGCAGTTGCTAAGTTGCCGCTCTGACCACATCAGTCAGCTGCGTCATTGTCATGTAGTATATTACTATATTCTTCTTCTCCATTGATGCTTCTTTTTGAACCTCAACAAAACCTCGTACCAAACAGCTGGTCGCCAAACACTTGCACTTTTGCTGCAAATATTTTCTTGATTCTGGCCGAAATGGCAGGCACCATTTTGAATTGGGACACCGGCGTTAACGTAGACATAGCTTCTGGATAATCAAGCATTAGAATAAAACTTTGGGTTTAGTGGTTATCCTACATTTACGGGACACAGTTTGTTAGCTGTTGGATCATAACAGGCATGTCAATAGGTAGGGTTTAGTTTGGATCATTTGATCCAAATTCAGATTCATTTAATTTAATTAGACTCAGATCTAAATTCAAATCCTTTTGAATCTGAAAAAGTAAGTTCATACCCAGACTCACTCTTATGGATCTGGGTATCCAATAGACATTCATGGGTATTTTCTGAACATACTAATGTAAAAATGTATTTAAAATATATAGAGTTCATATATGATATAAATACCATCTACTTTTTGTTTTCAAATAATAAAATTAACATTCGACAAGTTGAATGTAATATTGTGAACTCAAAGAAAGAATTATTGTTGATTACTTCTATATATTTTCAAAGATTTAACTGCATCTATATCCAATATTTCATTTGTTTGCCTTTTCTTGAAAAGTTTGTACCAATTACAATGGCAACTAGGATTAGTTTTCAAAAAGAAAACAACCATAACATATATAAATATTCAATCTTATTAAAAAAATGTAATTTTGTACCTCTTTTTCATATTTAAACCTCAATATTGGTAGATGTCTCGTAATCCAACACTAAAATGGTGAATGAGATAAAAGTCATTTGACTAAGGACCGATGACAAAAAAATAATAGAATAAGAAGATTTACAAACACTTATATTCATTTTTTCTTTGATTCAATCCAATCGAATCATCAGTAGTAACTAATAGAGAGTTCAATTATCTAATTGATATGAAACTTATTGAACCCATTTGAGTTTGATTCATCAGTAGGTAAACACATGATTATTCCCTTTAGTTAATTTCTCTGGAGAGTTCAATCTGTTTAATAGTTCTACAGCTTTGCTATACCCTGGGTCAAATTTTTGATTTCCCCACCTGTTTTCAATGTTGGTAGTTCAAAATTCAGCATATCTCAATTAAAAACAAAGAAAAAAAACAAAAAATATTCAAGTAATTTGAATTTTGAAGAGCAGTCAACAGTTTTTGCTATATAATGTTATTAGACCACATCTCGAAAAGGAGTTGTGCTTAAAATCAATCTTCCACTGAGTTGATGAATTGAAGGTCAAAGAAGTTGTTCTGGGGTGCCTGAACTGTAGAGGGAAAGATGAAATGTCCAAGTCCAATGAGAATTAGTCATGTCCCATGAGCACCCTTCCTAAGAAACTTGTGAGAAATTTATCATGTAAAACAACCAAACAAAAGATAATCAGCCTATGGAACATTGAAGAATTGAAGAAAAAAAAATTATGTACTCCAGTCCTGCAACCAAAGTTAGGACTATGTTGGACGGCAATGTATACATACCTTTATAATTGACTTTTGGTCCTAGAAATCGACAGTGATAACTGTACTCAAACATTATATATTACTCCAGAATTTTTTTTTCAAGAATCCAAATCTTTTTTTTTTGGTAAAGAAAAGGTTTGGTGATATCAGCTCTGATCAATATTACAGGTCCAAACCCTTTTTTTTAAAATCTTTTTTTACCATTTGATGCTGAAAAGGATATGTATGTATATCCACAGACACATGTGAATCGAATAGTATATACATCACCGTTAAATCCATAACACATATGAAAAAGTTAGATTTCAAATTTAAATTTTTTATAGTTGGCATTCATTTAAGATTGATAGTATATATATTATCCGTGTAAGAAGAATTAATCCAAATAAAAAAAAAATATATAGAGTCGGTATAAGAAAAAGTGAATTGCCAATATCGCATCATTAGAATACTACAATGTTAGAAAAAATTTAATCCTTATCGAAGTATGACAATCAATCAAGCTGCTACATACTACTTGATTCAAATCTGGTTAAGTGAAAACTCGTTTAACATTATTTCAACAATCATTTAAACCAACTGAAAATAATTATAGGGAAAAAATTCAACAGTCGTAAAAGAAAAAGATCAAGCTATTCAAGATTCATTAAAGAATAAAATAAATAAATAAAAAGAAGACCTATCTGAGCTAGGCTTGATAAACAAGCCAAACTCAAGCATTATAAATGTTTAAGTTCATCAAGAAATCAAAACAATGTAGTTCAATACATTCTTGGCTCGGTTCCAATGTTTAGTTATTTTAGACCCCTAAACTTGTAACGTCAATATTGAATTTCATATAACCAATATTATATACTTAGGGGGACCTTAACATTATTAAGTAGATAAATAAATGCCATTAAGGGCATCTAATTTCTCAATAACTTTATAGCTTTGATACCACAAATCAAATATGTAAACAATTAGCAAATAAAACACATTAGGGCCCAAATTTGTTGATCATTCTAAAAAAGTGGGATTCTGTAATCTTCATTTACCTATTTTCTAATGCTTAAGGACAAGGCATAGTATGTATGCTTGGACTAAACTTTTAGATGCAACGGATCTTTTGCTTTACTTTCTATTTTACTTTTTATCCTACTTTTTATTACGTTACAACGTCTTCTTTATAAGCACTATATTTTAATTCCTTTTTGTTTCCTTAAGTTCAAATAACTCCTAAAAAGATAAAAAAAAATAAAATACAATAGGATAAAAGATAATATATAATAGAAAATTCACAATTTTTTTTTTATGAATTTTGATTTTTAGTTTGTTGAATTTCATGTATTACTCTATTAATAGTTATTGGGAATTAAAGGAAACAAAAAAGAAAGAATTAAAATATGATGTTTATATAAAAATCGTAATATAATAAAAAAGAGAATAGAAAGTGGAACAGAAAGTGAGATAGAAAATTTGTTTTGGCTTTTAGACTACTTCCCAATTCTGCAAACTACTCCCGGCAATAGTAGTAATATGTTTAGAGTAAATCTTATATGTATTGACATTGTATACATTATTACCGTTAGATTTATGATATATGTTTAAAAGTTTGATTTCAAATTCAAATTGATTTGTTAAATATAAAGAATAGTCTAGTCAATTTTGGTGGGCCTATTGCCTTAGCACCTCGAATGCGTACTACTTAGCAACTGTCAGTACCATGTTTTTTGGTTTCTTAAAGATGAAGAAATATTGTCTAATAGGCCTTAGCAGCTCTAATACGACCTGCTAGAAAATTTGTCCACGAGCTAAAAATAGTTTGATCCCACCAGCCCTAATCAATCAAACCATTAGTACTTAAGATCCTCATCTATATAAATCTCCATTTCCAGTTCTACCTGACTCATCAGTTCAATTACTTGTGTCGAAAATCACTGTGATATTATCTAAAGAAAGAAAAATCATCATTGGCCATGGATATCCTTGTTCTATCACTGTCCTTGGTAATTGTATATGTTTCCAGCTTTGTTGCTGTTGTCTTCAGATGGAAATATGATGATGATGGCAAGAAAAAACTCCCACCTGGAAGCTTTGGTTGGCCGATTATCGGCAAATCGATTGAGTTCTTGTTTTGTAAACCTGAGAAGTTTATTGGAGATAGGATGAAGAAATACTCTCCTGACATCTTCAAGACTAAAATTCTTGGAGAGAAAACTGCAGTCATTTGCGGCCCTAATGGCCACAAATTCCTCTTTGCTAATGAGCAAAAACTCCTCTGAATTTAGGCCACATCCCATGCAAAGGCTCTTCCGCTCATACGAATCCAAAGCTCCTCCTCCTCCTCCTCCTCCTCCAGCAGCTGATCATATGCTGCGGGATGAAGTCAAGGCCATTAGACAGCCAGGCTTTCTAAAGCCAGAAGCATTGGCTAGATTCTTGGGAAAAATGGATTCCATTTCTCACCAACTTTTGGTGGATCATTGGGAAGGGAAGGAAGAAGTGGAGGCTTATCCTCTCGTGAAAATTATTACTCTGACGCTTTCTTGCAAGTTCATTTTGGGAACCCATAATCCTGAGAGAATTGCAAGGCTGGTGAGCGATTTTGATGATGTTACTCTAGGGATGCATTCAATTATGTTGAATGTTCCCGGGACGATCTTTTACAAGGCGAATAAAGCTGCAGCAGCTATCAGGAAGGAGCTGCTTCTTGTGATCAAGGAGAAGGAAGCTGCATTGGCTACTGGAGAACCATTGCATGATATCTTGTCTCACATGATTGTTATCACTGATCCTAGTGGAAAACATATGCCTGAAGCTGAGATTGCTGATAAGATGATGGGGTTGATTGTTGCAGGATATAGTACAGTTGCCACTGCTATTACTTTCATGATGAAATATGTTGGAGAAAGACCAGATATCTATGACAAAATTAGGGCAGGTAAATATTCTTCTTAATTTAAATCCTTCTCAACTTATAATTTAAGTTATGTTGTTTTTTATTGGAAATTAATGGAGAAGGAAATCAAATGTCCTTCTAATATAAGGGCTAATTATTTCAAGGATTTTGATCATGTCCAGTACGAGGCGAGCTTAATTTACTGAACCTTTCACCCTTTCCTAGCGAAATAGAAAAGATTTAAGGGCTTTTGACACTGTCATACGGCTAATAAGGGAAATTTGGTTGATCTTAACTATATTTTTCTAATTTTGACTAATACATTGATACCCAATTACCACTCGAAAATCAAGAAATCCTTCTTAAACAGGGAGTGATGGAATAGGATTGGGTTTTTGTTTTTTTAAATTATGTTTCTAATTTTTATCTGTGCATAGATGCCAATACAAAATATATGTCCTTCTACATATTATGGAAAGAGAATTGGTGTTGTAGATAAGCTTCTCAATTTAAGGTTTTGGAATGGAAAAAATAACACGATAGAACTAATCTTTTCATTTTCCACTTAGAAACTTTTAGTAGTACCTAGAACTCATCTTTCTGTTCTTTAGAACTTTT